CTATTCTGAATATGAAATTAGGCCTACAGATATTATATCTGAGTCAATAGGAGCTTCTCCACCCTGGACAATTCCATCAATTAGGAATTAAATAGGACTACAGAGTTTTCCAAATAGCACCTCCCCCTAGAAGAAATTAGATGTAAGTATTTTCTATCCGTTTCTATATTTCTATTAGAAATTTAGAAGTAACTTCCGGTCAACACCTCTCCTGTAACAATCATATTTCCCAAATTATCCGAAAATCTACTGCTACCCTAAAATAGTTCCTGAGATTCCGTGATTATATGCCCCTAAAACCCCGCCAACTCCTAGTTTTCTCACTCATCTTTCCTCACTTCGATTATGGCTGCATTGTATACGGTTAGTGTTGCCCAAATGCGAGACCCAGACGAGTCTTGGTCTTGCAAACTCAGTTTGGTCATGGTCTTGGTCTTGCACGAGAGTCTCGCAACAGTCTTACAGTACTGTATTTTGTAGATAGGAGAAACCTAACTAAGCCTGAATGAGAAATTAGAGGAATTAAATGCAAAACTATATTAGTTATACCAATTATTTACATATAGTAACTAAGAATTAACATCAATCCCAGCAAGTCAACTCATGTTAGCTTCTCCCTGAGGAAAATCTCGTGTCCTGCTGTGACAATAGACAATAAACCAGTTCCCTCAAAAACACATGTACGATATCTCGGATTATACTTGGACAAAAAACTCACCTGGAACATTCACACTAAATTTAAAAAAACAAGAACTGACCAGAGGATACAAACAACTGTCACATCTTTTAGACTATAGATCTGCACTCAACTTACTAAACAAGCGACTAATCTACATCACTATACTAAGACCTATTTGGACATACGGAGCAGAACTTTGGGGTTCCGCAAAACACACGCACATCAACAAAATCCAAACCACACAATCCAAAATACTCCGTAAAATTGTCAATGCTCCTTGGTTTATTTCAAATCACACCATACACAAAGACATGAAAATACCAAAAGTAAAATCCTACATACACAACATTTCACACTTCTACTCTCAATCATCCAAATCCACTCGTTCTATCTCTATCTTCCTCCCTGTTACCTGGTGAGCCTCAAAGACGACTAAAAAGGCAGTGGCCTAGAGATCTGTTGAAAAGTTAAGAAGATATCAGGAATTCAAGAAGATATAATTAACGCCAACACATTTGCTTGATGCGTTCCAACGCAGTGTCAAATTTAAAATAACAAAATAAAAAAAAAAAAAAAAAGATTGTCGAGTATTAGTTACTGTTTCGTAGTTACTGTTTTTAACTTTTTTTACCAGTCATGGTCTTGGTCTTACAACAGTTAGGCGGCCTTGGTCTTTGGCACTTTGCAAGACCAAGACCGATTTTGGGCAACACTATATACGGTGGACTGTCTGGTGGGCTTCAGATCAGAATGAAGAGATTAGTGAATTGTCTCCAGTCAGTAATTCTGAGTAGAAGTTGCTCTATCAGATTTCCTAGGTGTATTCCTTTTTCAAAAATTTACAACCAAAAAACCCATCTTACCCTCTTGAATTATTTACTCCTTATTCGTTTAACACGAGATCCCAGTCCATAAACGCATTTGTTCCCTCTCATAGAACTGTTTCCTTTAAAAAATCTTTTGTCATGCGTGGTACCTTTTTCTGGAATTCGTTACCTGCCTCCATGAGCAAATCCTCTTCCATAACCACATTTAAACAACAATTCTTCCACCTCCTAAGCAATAAATCTTCCGAATACATGTAAGAACAAAATATTTCTGATGAAAACTGAGATTTGAAAATTTTAACTTTCTTTTACCATATATTTCATATACAGGTAAGTGAAAGCAAAAACAGAAAATAAAAATAGCATATTTTTCTTTATTTGTCGAATTTGCCTCTACCCGATAGGACCATTGACAATTCTTTCCTTACCTACGTTTCTTTATAATATGTGTTATAATTCCGTTTAAAAAATTCCATCATGACCTCCACATCTTTTTCGGTATCCTGTAACATCTCCTGGATAGTTAGCTGAATAATAAGGCACTTCCTTTTGACCGCATTTCTAGGGGAACCGCACCTGACGCAGGTAGGTGGTTTTCGACCGTGGAGTAGCTAGCTGTAAGAAAATTCGTAGAGACCGATTCTGAGATAGCACAGGACTATTTTCTCTCTTCTTAATTTTCTGTAACTCCGACTCTATAGAGACCGACTATTTGGTTATACCAGGACTAATTTAGAAGGGTTCCTTCTCCAGGTCTCATTCCTTTGAGATATTATTTAGGGTTTCTTTTGTCTCAACCAGTCCTCTCGATAAACATAAACGATGAATTTTCTCTCATTATTATTATCTTTTCGAATCGCGTCGCATTTTACTGTCCTAAGTAAGTTTAAAAATTTCAAGTATCGTTGTGTGCTTAGGATCAAATTTGGTTCGGTGTCATTCTGTCTGTAGTCAATTCGCTGTGACGGGCGTATCACCTGCTACAGTTTATACGATTTTAATTTTGATTTATAATTTTCAATAATTGAGCGGGTTAGTGCGTTAATGGGGCTATAATAATTTCATTAAATTCCATTTAGTACTTCCGTTAATGCATAGACAAAAGTATGTTCTTAGATATACCAATATTCAAGAATCGGCTCGTTCGATTGGCTATATGTTGATAGACAGGTGGGTTTTGGTAAGATAATGATACTGTATCAATTTTGTTTGAATTCCGTCCTCTACGTTATGTAAAATTTGCGAAAATGTATTTTTCTTTATATACCTATATCACTAAAACTACACCTTGACATTTGGAGAAAAGTTGGAGATTGTTACCCAAATGATCGAGTACCAATTTCATCAAATTCTTTCCTCAATATTAAAAAAATACTTTCGCATTCGGATTTATAAACATGTTATTTTTGACTCCTCTATAGTTTGGAAACGGCTCGTTCGATTTGACCCAAACTTGGAGGAAATTTGAAGAATTTTATAGGAATTGCCTACTTTCCCGCTCAATTATTGAAAATTTTAAATCAAAATTAAAATCAGATAAACTGTAGCAGGTGATACGCCCGTCACAGCGTCTATGGTCTAGTTTCTGTTAGTTTATATACAATTACATTGCATTATTCTTTTTCTGTTTATTTATTGTATAAAGAGTGTGAATGAGTTACTCTTCTATCACTATTATTATTGTCCTTAGATGAGAAAGATGTAATATATATCAATAAAGAATTTTAGAGAAAAAATTGATACCACTACTAAATATTTATATTAAAACTATATGTATTGATTTATACAACTACATATATTAATTTATATAACTGTATTCTTTTCAGACGCATTGAAGGGTTGACAGGAAGAATTTGGATGAAAAGTTAAGGTGACAAAATAGTTTGGAATTAAAAGAGATAGATATAGTTCAGAAAAATCTTCAACAAAGAGAACAAAAAAGAAAGTTGAAGAAACGAAGAAAAAGTGAAGTTGAAGTCTTTATGGATAATTATATTATATGTGAGGGTGATGTAGAGAGTAAGGGGGGGGAGGAGTCGCTCTTCCCCAATAAGGACAGAGAGGGAGTGAGAATATTGTTTAACCCTTACCAATTAATCCACCAATATATTATAACCTCAATGAATGACCAACGGGCAGAAATAGACCAGCGTATAACTAGCACAAACAGAGTTTTCTTCTCCCTCTCAAAGGCATTGATATCCTGAAAAACCTTAAGAAATTTCAAACTCTATAGGGTTTTCAAACATCAAATAAATAAATAAATAATGTATGGCTGTGAGACCTGGACACTAAACAGAGATTTGAGAGAAAAATCCTCCGCATGATAACCAGAGCGATCTGAGTTCAGAGTACTAACACATAGGGAAGAAAGAGCAATAAGGAAATGCTTATAGAAACTGGTCAATTAATATGATATGAAGGCTTGGAGGTTAAGATGGGCGGGACACGTAGCTCGTAGCAATCCATCTAGAAGCCTCTACGTAACAATGATTGCCTCAATAGAAGGCAGAAGACCACGTGGAAAGACAAAAAGCAAATGGATAAATAGAATCAACAAAGCTGCAACAGAGCTGCGTGCAGATAAATGAAAAAAAAAATAGCTAAAGACAGGTTTTACAGATCTACATAGTCTGTAATGCGATAAAATAAAATATCTAAACTAAAATCAACTAAAGAAATAGGAAAATACGATCAGATGGCTAAGCTAAAGTCCAGAAGAAGATATGTAGGTATTTTTCAACGCTCTAAGTTCCTATTATTGAAATTTTAGTTTATATTCAAAGATAATTATACTGTTTAGTTTATATTGTACACATACATTATATTGTCATTTTTATAAATATTATGTTGTTTATATTAATTATCACTTATAATTTTTAGACATAATGTAAACTTCCGAGACTTTTTTGGGGAGATGAAGTAGTCTATGTTCCCTCCCCCAACCAGAATGGAAAGTTTGCACCTGTATATATAAAAAATTTTCCTATTCTTTCTTCTAATAATATTTTATTTTGTTCTTATTTCTGTGCATTATTTTATTACTTTATTTATTTATATTTCTGTAAATACTGTGTGAATGAACTCTATTCTAAGTGTCTACAGATTGTAATCTTTCTCAATAAACAAGTTAAATAAGCCTTATGGGTTTTTATACTGTAAGGATTGGTTACGGGAAGAATTTGATAATTTTGTGGACCCCTAAAGCTCAATTCGGTATGTCTAAATGGGCCTGATGATGTTTTTGTTTTGTTTAATATTTTAAGTTAAGAGCGTTTGTCAGTAAGTATTTTATAAATCGGAATCTACTAAAAGTTTCTTATTTTCTCAGTCTGTTATGAGGATTCCAAATAAGAGTTTTTCAAAAAGGAGTCCAAAGTAACGGATCTGTTCGACAGGAAAAAGTGAAATATTGTTAAAGGATATGGTTGGACAGATTTACGTAGAGGAGTAAATAATAATCAGTTAGTTTAAATATATTAAATAAAACTTACGGAAAATAATCTGTACACTATGGACTTTATCCTCACTAAAAATAATAAATTCTCACTTATCACTATCACAAATAAGCAAATGTCACTAATAAAAATTAATAACAAAAAAAATTATTGATGAGTTCAGGTTTACTCTACGAAATCGAAAAACGGACTGAATTCGCTTCTGTTGACGTAGAACTTGTCTGTAACAAAGAAAGCGATAAAAATCATCCCCACTTTTCAACGACTTAAAAAATGAAACCAAAAAAAACTCGTGATAATTACTTTTTCGATCTCTTATGTAGTGTTTTTTTAAACCTTTTTTGTATTTTTTTTTTCTAAATTTCAATGCCGTCATAATCCGGACCCGGAGAAAGATATACCCTGATGTTATTTTTATATATATTATCGACTGTTATCTCCCGAATAAAACCGCTAAAATTGATGAATACGCTGAAGTTGATAAGAAAAGGGTTATCAAAACTGAAGCATGTGCTGAACTCCGGACCTGGAGTAGACGGTTGTGTCAAAGTTTGCCCTCATTTACTTAATGATTTATTTACTTCAATATTGAAAGGACAAATAAAAAAAAAATCTGGTGTGTCCACTTTCCTACCAACGACTTCCCTACCTATTTCAGAAAAGTTTTTATATCTTTAAATATGTTCATGCACGAACAAAAAAAAATTGAATGAGATTTATTTTTCAGAAAACTGACCAAAGAAAAGATTTGAATACGATTTATTTGATAAACTAAAGCAATGTAAACATTTAAATACTCTCTAATATTTCTGATCAAAAACTTTTTGCCATAGCTTAATTTTGTCAAACAATAATTTGGAACAGGAGAGGAACAGATTTTGTTACTTTTACTTAGTCATCTTTTTTCTCTCATTCACTCCTTTCTGACACCTGGATATGAACCCGTACATTGGAAATTGATTAGTTGTAACTTCGTTAATAGTTATCCAAAATGAACGATTTTTATACAGTTTTGTAGAGAATTTCATTACCTTTCAAAAAAAACAGGCAATACTTACCTAGTATAGGTAGGAAAGTAATAAATTAAAACATGTGTAGAAAATAGAATAAGCTGTATCATCGTTAATACTGGTTCGATTCCGATGACTTTTTTTGTTTTGTTGTTAATTCAAATACCTTCCAAAAGTTTTATTATAAATTTTACCGTATGATATGTACTTAGCGAGTATTTATGAATTTAGTTCGGAAATTTAGCCCATATACGGAAAATTGAAAGAACAATTATTAGAACATCATAGGAAGGTTTCATCAGAATCGTTAGAGTTGTTTTCGCGATACAGTCTCAAGGAAAACATTTATTTTTCATTTATTGCGCGCAAGCTATCAGTAGTCAGAACTCTACAAAATAAAAAAAGAAGCAACAAAGTCGGTTTAGTAGTTCCCGAGAAAATCTTGGCAAAGACAGACCGACCAATGGCTAAAAGTGTGTTTTTCGGACTCAGGGGGCTCTGAAACGTATAGATCCGTCGAAAACTGCACGAAAACTGCATACCGGAAATATGATCCGATCGCAATACTTTCCTTACCGAGTATAGGTAGGAAAGTAAAAATTATATTATCTCTTCTGAGGTCCAGAGAACAAACATAAAAAACAAACAGACGTTGACTACCCTACGATTTTACGCCTCAAATAAGCGAACAAACGAATTGGCTCTTGGACTCGTTAATTTTTAACCTCAATTAAAAATTTAATATACATTTATCTTAAAATATGCAATTCCCTAAACACCTTCTAGGAATCAATGCCTTCTGCATTATAATGTCAAAGATCATGTGCGCCTCTGTGCTTGGCCAATTACAACTGAGACGCAATTGGTGTAAAGTCGAAAAGACCTTATGAGAAGAGCAAGATGAGCCAATCAGAGCGGCTAAAACAGAATGACTTTGAGAATTTATTATTATTGTGGCTTTTTATTGGTTCTGTTACAATTGAAGAGCTTTGCCGCAAAAACTAATTCCCCTGACTCGGTGCATTCGCTCCACCGTACTGGGTTTTTAGTGCACCTTGGTTTTGTTCCTGTTTCCTCCCGCAGGATAAGCCGACAGCCACAAGAGGAAATGAGGTGAAGTTAATTGAGAAATCAAAGAGAGTCCTCTTGAGGTTATTTTCAAGCTCGAGACCTCCCTGGCGGAGTTTTTTTTTTCCAACTGGTACCTTATACGATCTGTTATTGCGTTCTTGGTGGTCTCTGCGCACTTCGATTTCTTTTCAATATTTCTTTCAGTTAAGAATTCTTCAGTTCTTAACATGAATAAAAAACATTGTTTACATAAACACTGGATTGATAAAAAATAATTTATGCTGAACGTGTGGTGGAAAGTGAAAGTTGTTTATGCACCGTATAAAATTTGGCCATCTTAAAATTTAAACCATATGCAGTCGAAGTCTTAGAAATTACATCGCCCAGTAAGAATTTTATTTTATGTTTTTAGTTGGAAACTTCTTTAAAAGTGTTTTGCTCTTTTTTTTGCGGAGTGCAAATTAGATTAAGCCGTCAGATCTCCGCTGAGTAACGCTCGGGTACAGTCGGCTTGAGTCGACTAATTTTTTTAATAGCTTATTTATTGAAATATATTACAATCTGTCTCAGGGACATTAATAATAGTGTTCACAGATCACATTCACACTCTATATACAGTAAATAAAATAAATTATACAGAAAAATAATATATATACAATAAACAAGAATAAAATAACCTAAAAATAAATAAATAAAAAGAACACATGCACACCTACATACAATATTTACAACTTGGCGAGAGAACTCCAAGCCAGACTTGTCCCTCCAACTGTGAAGGGAAAAGTATGACTCCAGGAGTTCCCTGCACTCCTCTCTCAACCGCGTCACTAGGGCTAAACCCAGTGGAGATTGAGCAAGAGTGCTTTAGCCACATACACTCATGTCGTGAGTGGAGAATCTGGCCATTGCCAGAACTCCAATATTTACAAACTATAAAAGATCGCGGGGCCACTGCCGTTTTAACCTCCTTGGAGGATTATATGGATGGGTGGTGCTGGATAGAGATTTTGCAAAGGGATTTGGATGATGGGTAAGGTTCTGGTGGAATTTGGAGAATTTTGCTGGGATAAGGTCTAGGACAAATGGGATATTAAGGTCATGGTGTAGGGTTTTGTTGGTTACATAGAAAGGAGCATTGGCTATTGTTCGAAGGACTTTTGATTGGAAGGATTGGATGCGTTTGATGTTAGTAAATTTTGCTGTTCCCCACAGTTCAAGTCCGTAAGTCCAGATAGGTTTCAGTATTGTCTTGTAGATCAGTAACTTGTTTTCAATGGAAAGTTTTGATTTTCTGTTTAGTAGCCGGTATAGTTGTCCGTATCGTCGGTTTAGTTCCTGTCTTTTAAGTCTAGTATGAGGGTTCCACGTTAGTCGTCTGTCTAAGAGAAAGCCAAGGTACCGGACTGTGTCCGAAAAAGGAAGCTGAATGGAATTAAAGTGTACTGGTGGACAGGAACTGCGTCGGAGCGTGAAGGTGATGTGTTGGCATTTGGATTCGTTTACTTTAATTCGCCATTTATTACACCAGTGTTCAATCAGGGAGAGATGTCTTTGAAGGTTTAAGGATGCTATATCAGGATCTGAGTCGGATGATAGAATGGCGGTGTCATCAGCAAAAGTTGCCAGGAAGGTATCGGGATGGACAGGGATATCAGCGGTAAAGAGGATGTAAAGGACGGGACCCAATACGCTACCTTGAGGAACACCTGCCTCAATTGGATAGCAATTCGATAATTCACTACCGCAGCGAACTCGGAAGGTACGATCTGAGAGGTAGGAACGGAGGACAAGGTACAAGGACTGAGGAAGATAGGTTTTCAGCTTGGAAAGAAGCCCGGCGTGCCATACCCGGTCAAAAGCTTGAGCTATGTCCAGAAATGCACCCGAGCAATATTGCTTGCTTTCCAATGCTGCGGAAATATGATCGACCACTCGGAGTCCTTGTTGGACTGTGGAGTGTTGTGAACGGAATCCGAACTGATGTGAAGGAAAATTTTGGGATTCTATAAAGGGTAGGATTCGTTTCAGGAGGATCTTTTCAAAGATTTTTGAGAGAATCGGAAGTAGGCTAATTGGTCTGTAGGACGTTGAGATGTTGGGAGGTTTGCCTGGTTTCGGAAACAGGATAATAGTGGAATGTTTCCACAAGAGAGGAAAGTGGGTGGTTCTTAGGATGGCATTATATAAGTAGGTGAGAAATATAACAGCTTTAGGAGGAAGTTGTCGAAGGATTTGAGAGGTAAGGAGGTCGTATCCAGGAGATTTACGGAGAGGAAGTTTTTGTAAGTGATGTTTGACCTCAGAAGGATTAACTGCTTTAGGTGGCAAGGAAAGTGGAATGGGAGATGTAAGGAATTCTTCTACTGTTGTGGTATGGGTGAGGTTGGATTCCGGATGAGAGGTAAATGTTCTGGAGAGGTGTCTGGCGAATTCCTCAGCTTTATCTTCATCAGACGCTGCCCAGGAGCCATCGCTTCGACGGAGGGGATGGGAAATATGATGGGATTTTAGGATTTTGTTGGTGATCTTCCATAGGGAATTGTCATGAACAGAGAGGGAAGTAAGGTAGGAGTTGAAGGATTGGGATTTGAAGGTGGCCAATTCCTGCTTTAATTGTTTACTGTAAAAATTATAGGAACGACGATCGATGGGGTGTCTAGTACGTTGCCATAATAATCTGGCGCGGCGTTTGGTATGGATTAGGTCTATGAGGTGTTGAGGTAACTTATTTTTCTTGGGAGTTCTTGAGGAGTGGTTTGGAGAGGAAGCAGTCCAGATTGCTTGTTGGATAGTGGTGGTGAAAAGGTGTACGGCATTGTCAAGGTCATCTGGGGTTTTTAGGGTTATTCTGAGGTCAATTTTATCGGATAGGATTTGGTGATAGAGTTTCCAGTTAACTGGGCCTCTGATGAAGGACGGTGGAGAAGACTTAGGAATAGGAGCAAGAGATAATTGGAGTAATAATGGACTATGATCTGAGGATAGTTCGGCAAGACGGGTAAGGGAATGATTGAGGGGACCTAAGCCACTGTGGATGAAAAAATCAAGGATATCGGGATTGCGGTTAGGATCTGTGGGCCAGTAGGTAGGCGACTTAGGAGGAAGGATACTGAACCGTTGGGAATTGAGTGCAGATAACAATGTTCTGCCACGAGAGTTCGTGGT